GATGGGTGTTTTTTGCTTTGAAATACTGTATATAAACTGTATCAATGTCATTTTTAAGAGGAAAATTATCTTATAGATTGTTGCCATTTTATAGATGTTTGCGAATCAAAAATACTATAATATCAGTGATTTTCTTTGGGGGAAATTTACCCCGTAAAGTCTTGCTATCATCAAGATGGTTGTCTTTGCTTTCAACTCTGTATATAAACTGAATCAATGTCAGTTTTGAGAGTAAATTTACCCTGTAGAGTTCAGCGATTTTCAAAGTGTAATGTTCGCTTTTTATAAGAGTAGTGAATACTGTGACAGTGATACCTTCTTTGGGGGGAAATTTACCCCGTAAAGTCTTACTTTCTAAAAGATTGCATTGCGATTTCTAAAAGGCAGTTTACCCTGAAGATTTTTGCTGTCTTTAAGATGTTGTGAATCATAAAAACTATATCAGTTATTTGCTTTGGGGGGAAATTTACCCCGTAAAGTCTTGCAATCTGAACGATGGGTGTTTTTGCTTTTAATTACTGTATATAAACTGTATCAATATCATCTCTGAGAGGAAATTTACCCTGTAGAGTTCTGCGATTTTCAAAGTGTAATGTTCGCTTTTTCTACGTATAAGATAAACTGTATCAATAATTATTTTAAGAGGAAATTTACCCTGTAGATTTTTGTTACCTCCAAGATATTGTGAAGCATAAATTCTCTATGAGTGATATTCTTTGGGGGGATATTTACCCTGTAAAGTCTTGCTATCTAAAATATGGGTGTTTTTGCTTTGAAATACCGTGTATAAACTGCATCAATGTCACTTTTGAGAGAAAAATTACCCCAAAGATTTTTGCCATCTTCACGATGTTTGAGAATCATAAATACTGTATTAGTGATTTTCTTTGGGGGGAAATTTACCCCGTAAAGTTTTGCTATCATCAAGATGGTTGCCTTTGCTTTCAAACACTGTATATGAACTGAATCAATGTCATTTTTTAGAGGAAATTTACCCTGTAGAGTTCTGCAATTTTCAAAGTGTAATGTTCGCTTTTTATAAGAGTAGTGAATACTGTATCAGTGATATTCTTTGGGGGGAAAATTACCCCGTAAAGTTTTGCTATCTAAAAGATGGTTGCTTTTGTTTTGAATTACTGTAGGTACACTGTTTCAATCTCATTTTTGAGAGGAAATTTACCCTGTAGGTTTTTGCTATCTTTAAGATGTGAATCAATGATTTTCTTTCGGGGGAAATTTACCCCGTAAAGTCTTGCTGAATTGTCAATACATATGTAGTTCCTCCAAATATTTACATTTCAGTTTATTTGTGACACTAGATCGTGTTTGCATTAGAAAAATGCTGATTTTTCACAATCTAATGAATAAATATCTTATAAACTGTGTTTTTTTTTTTGTTAGATTTTGTCAATACCTGAGGGCAAAATGCCTAAAACAGAAATAAAGATTTTCTGTTTTGATTTTGGAATGCGTTTTATGTTCATGTATATCAAATTAATTTCATAAAGGTAGACTACAAATATTTTTTTTTCAATAAATGTTGAAAACGACTAATAAAATAACTATGATTACAAAGAAATAGGGAACTAAATACAAAACAAAGCTAAGTATCATTACATGTACGTTATTCAAGCGGTTAACAGGCCCGATGGGAAAATGCATGCGAGCGTCAGCGATAAAATATCTGGTCTATTCTGGTTACAATTTCTCGTCTTTTAAAATGCTGATCTTCACTTCTGCTATTGATGAAAATTATTCTCCTAAGGACATAATACCAGGCTTTGAACTCAGTGGTAATTTTGTATTTCCCGTAGAGGCTTAGAAAAATCTTCCATTCCAGCAACTATCATGCAGGGTACTCGGGAGCTGAGATTGCGACTGAAAACTGGTCCACAATTGTTTCAGGCTAATTAATAAATTGGTCTCTTCAGTTTTTTGATTAAAACAAATCCACCATCAATGCTGCAAAAATGTATGAAATTGAACTTGCATCATATACTGATTTGTCTTGCTGTTCCGTCATAATATGCCACATAAAATACATTTATTTCAATATATATATATATTTTTTTTTGGCCGTTGCAATTATCAGTATGAATTGTACATGTAAGTTCTGTATTCAGAAATCGACTAGTTCAAATAATGGAATCTGGCCCATGAGTATTTGTACCTTCACACACTATAGTTGCATGTTAAGAAATTTAAAAAAAAAAAGGATATCGTCTATTCGAAACCAAAGATCTGGATTTTGCAGAGTCTCGATTATAGAGAGGCCCCATTTGGAGAGCATAGCGAGGTATAACTCGATGGAAGCGAAAAATCAGTTCTTGTGATGTCGCTGTAGAATACTACATGGTGTCCGAGAGAAGTTTTAAGAGTTGAAACTGCCAAGCCTCTGTAAATAAACCAGAACTCTATTTAAATGATGTTTGCTGAGTTAATAATTAAACTAACACGCATAAATTTAACTTGCTACATGTATATATATTTTTGAATATGTTATTTTAAAAGTGTAACGAAATAAGATAAAAGTAGACTTAACATGTTGTGCACAGGCTGTAGGAGGCACTTTTAGTTGAAAAGGGAGGGGGGATCAGCTTAACAGAAAAAAGTTAACAAACTAAACCAAAAAAGTTACATTACTTTTGAGGTGCACATCAGTAACTTATCTTTATATTCTTTTGTAAAGTATTTACTGGTAAAGTTTTTATGGATAAAACTTTTAATAAGCTTTGTTTTCTTTTGTGAAGTATATAATGGTAAATTATTGCACCCTCCCCTTCTCCGGTTTCTATGGTACTGATATCTTACAGTGCAATTTTAGGTCAAATCTCCCCATGAGCGAGGTTGGGTAAAATTAAATCAAATACCTGTAATGTGTGCATTTATAAGAATTACTTATTTCAATAAAAACACAAACTAAATAATGTACTTCCACAGACACCTCAAGAGTGAATAAATTACATGTACTTATCGTCAACCCCACCCCCCCTCCCCCTTCTTTTCGGATGGTGTTTAAGTTGAGTTACTTTTCAGGATACGCTCTATTAGAATCAAATCAACCATCTTTGAGACACTTACAATTTTTTGTGTGAATATCTTTGCTTTTGAATTCTTGATAAAAGTACAGAATAATAAGAATGACAGATTTGACGGAGAATGTTTTTAAAAATATAGGATCGTTACATTTTGGTTATATTTATACGGGGAGAGGGTCAGTCCATCTTTGCTGGCTAATGATCTTGGGTAGCGGAGATAGGGGTAAGTCATGAAGTTAAGTATGTTATCCACATTTCATCCAAATTAAGATGCCTGTGATATATCAGTATTCTACTCTCTCTATCCCTCTTTTGGCTTTACACCATTATGTATCGGAATCAAGCCAGGATCCAAGATTTTTTTCCAGAGGGGGGGGGGGGGGGGATTCCACACCAGTAAAAAAAAATCATAGCCATAAAGTTTTTTTTTTTTTTTTTGTTGACGAGCAAAAAGAAGCGAACACAAAACGTACACCCCTTTCAAACGTGAAAAACTTATTTCGTAAAGGTTGTGGATCAGGGGTGGGAATGTAGAGATAGAACCGCTTTCCTTCACTTCTTAAACTTCAAAAGTATTATTCCCCGCTCCTCCAATCTTAAAAAGTGTCCTTGTTTTCCCGGAGAGGAAGAGGATCCGTGGTCATTTTTTCGTTACTTTACTATCTACATTAGATAACTAACTCCACATTTTTTTGGCGGGGGGGGGGAGGGGGGGGGGTCCGGGTCCGCGAATGGGAATAACACATTATATGCAAAGATATGTTTTGATATTGATTAGATAAAATTATTATTCTTTCAGTGAAATAATCGGGAATGTTATATACATCATAAAATCCAGAAGCAAAGCCGGCGTTAAAACAAAAGTACAACATTTCAAACGTGGAACTTGCTTTTAAAGTATGTGCTGATTTGTGAAAATTTAAATAAAATGTGTGTATTAATACAATGGAAAAAATCTTAACACGAACTACTGTTTCATACATGAAAAAATATCGGAAAACAAAATGAATTTCGATCCGCCAACAAACAAATGCTGCATAGAACAGGTTGATGTATGTTGCGTGAACGCACAAAGATTAAAAAATGATCAAACTAATCAAATATTGTCAATGTTCATGTATATGCAAACTTTCAAAGAACAAACATTATACTTACTAATAATACAACGTCCATTCTTCTGTCTGTGGTTATCCCTTCCATGCCTTCACTCGCTATACTTTGAGGTCTGGCTTTAGTGACGTAATATAAATAAAGATGGCTTTTGTGTTGTTTGGTGGATCATAATACTTTACATTCACAGAGGCAGGTTTACGTATAAATAGAAATTTATAAAACATTATTTGCTTCAGAGTGGGGTTTTAATTATTCATTTTACTAAGATATTAAAACTAGCGAAAATAACTGAACAAAAGTTTAATAAAGATATTTGTATATTGTGTACATTCAACAGCTGTCCAACTTTGTCAGCGAAATGCATACGTATGTAGGATATTCACAAAGGTATAACAGTAAATATAAAGTAATATATTATAATATCCGTCAGTGATAACTTGAGAAAATATTTTTAAAATGGCAAAGAAACGTATTTTACACACGATACGACGATCATAATACACATTCATTTATACTTTCACTCTGAAAATAAAACTGAACAACGGAAAGTGAAAAGGGAGAAAAAAGGAACATGTGCGTTTTAAACGCGAAAATTTGACGTCACAATAAACACGTTTTTCTCAACGTCAACGCTTATGTCATTAAGCCCGGTTTTGTCAGAGAGCGGTCCAATTACAAATTGATTAATCATTAATATGCATTCTTTCGAATTATTTCATATTATACAATCGAATTCTTATTTTTCTTGAAACATATTAGATAGGTACATTTAAAACATAAAAACCTAGAGCAATATAAAAATTACCTTGCAAATTCAGGTTAACTTTATATTGATACTGTCTTCTACAGGATATCTAGGATGCTTTAAAGACCAGAAAAATCGAATTTTGACAGGAGATTCAGTAAGTATGAACACCATGACTCCAGAAAGTTGTAAGGCGTTTTGTAAAGGAACCAAATACTACGGAGTTGAGGTACTCATGTATTGTATGTAATGCAATGTTAATGTCTAAAAATTAGGAATATTATAATTTTTTTTTAAGTATTCCTTATACAAAGTTTAAAAGGTATATAATGATTTTTCATAGTCTAGAAATTTTCACATATAGCAAAGCTTCGCCCCGGGGTATAAAATGAGCAAGCCATTCCTCATTTTCATTTGAAAAATTCTATTTTTTTTTATATTCATTTAAATCTAGACACCACTTTGAAATCATTATATGATTGGGTGTCGATTTCTCCAAAACGTACATTTTTTAAGGATTGGAGAGCTCATTTTATACCCTGGTTATAGCTTTCTAGAACTTCTATATACCTGTATAATAAAACGCCCAAACCATCTAGGGAGAGTTTCTGTTAAGAGATTGATAATAAAGCAATCCAAATCACAGCTAGCGAATGTGTATCATTTTCAATAAGAAATGTTATTTTTGTATTTGCAGTATTCTAAAGAGTGTTTCTGTGGAAACTTTCTTTCAATAAGTATTAGAAAGCCTGAAAGAGAATGCGACAAGGAATGTAAAGGTGATAAAAGTCAAACTTGTGGTGGAGACTGGAGGATAAGCATCTACAATAACCCAAACCATAGGACAAGTAACTATCAAGAAAATTTGAAATATATGCATTTTACTTTCAATTTATGTGACAGTTAAAACTATTTGAGACAATATGTTATAAAATTGCCAAAGTCATTACATACTAAATTCCATCTTACTCTCCATTTTTAATTATGAGGATTTATTTCAAAACGAGAAAGGAAAAAAATATGAATGATAAATGAAGTAATTTAAGAAAGTTATGCTCTTTTTTCCATATGTTATGTTGCAAATTTTGAATTTACTAGGTGGAGGTCAATGCAAACCTTACAATACAAGTAGTTTTCATGTTGCAAATTTTGCATTGACCTTCACTAGTAAATTTAAAATTCACAGCATGATAACTTTTCTTGTGCTATGGATATTGAAGATGTAAATAGTTGAATCCTGTAGAAGAAAACATTTTTTTCAACTTTTATTCCACTGATGAAGACGAAGTGCATTGTAAATAAAGTTAGATAACCCAAAACATTAAAAAATTCAAGGACTCCATACTGGGAAACTTATATATTATTGAATGTTTTGAGATCAATCTACCATTGATCGTATCATTTAAAGCATCATACATACATGCATCTTTAAGTGAAGTACACACCTGTATATATACCTCGTGTTACTCAATTTCAATGTATAAAAATTCATAGCTTTAAAAAATCGTTTTAAATTGCTACATCGACACAAGATTTCTTTTCGAGGTAAAAATCAGAAACTTTTCAAATAGTGATTAGCGCATACATGATTGTTTTTTCTTCGAATTTTCATCCATTTAATTATTTGAAATTAAGTACCATATGCATGGTAGATTTTAAATCCATGTTTGTAAATTATCACAGTAAGAGAAACTAATTGGACTGAATCAATGAAGAGTTGTAAAATCTGGTACCCTCCATTTGACCTAATCAGAAACGCAACCTTTGCTTGTGAACGACTGCATATGACAAAGAATGGGCTATTCTGGCTTAGTATTGTAAAAGAAATTTATACTGGATATGATCGAGGTAAACAGGACAATTACATTTACTACAATTTATTTCTATTTCTTCTTGGGTTTTTTTTTTCTTGTTTTTGTGAGAAAATGAACTGAAAGCTTCAGAAATATTATGCATTTAATTATTTAAGAGAAAATTTAAGTATTTATATCACTTTAGGATATACACACTTTAACAAATTATATTTGCAACATCAATAAGTGGATGTCAGTTAGTTGTACCTGTAATAGCTATTACTGTACCTGTAATAGCTCTTATTGCTAAAACTTCCGAATGTTACCCTTTGTACATGTATACCCATGGACGTACCGGTATATTCTAACGAAATAGGCATCTTTCACAAGTCTTGCAATATGTTGAAGTTGCGCGATTTCAAAAGTCAGTTTTAAATATAATATATCCTTAATGCCATCAAATATTTCAAAATAAAACCTTTATTCATATTTAATGGGAAAAAAAGCCGTTCACGGTAGCTCAGTTGGTAGAGCGCTCGCTCCTCGATCGGGAGTTCGTAAGTTCGAATCTCGGCCGCGACTGACACAAGTCGATAAAAAATGGGTAGCAACTGTTCCTTCGCCATGCGCTCGGCACTTTGAAGTGAAAGTTGCGGGTCCTTCGGATGAGATTTTAAAAACAGAGGTCCTGTGTCATGGCAGGCGATGGCACGATAAAAATCCCTCACTGCTCAGTGGCCCTGAGTGCCGAGTAAAGGTCAAAATTTGAAGCCCTTCACCGGTATATGGTGATTTCTCTATATATGTGAAAAATTCTCGAATGGGACGTAAATCAACATATAATCAATCAATCAATCTAATGAAAAAAATATTCAAAATTTATTGTCAGAACCGTTTATACTCCATATCTTAGAAAAATCACGCTGTATATTCAAATCGACACATGCACCTGATCGGACGTATTATCTAGAAATCGACGAATTTGTTGGTTGGTTGGTTGACATTTAAATTATTTTACAATGTATGCTTTAAAATTTATTAAAATTTATTAAAAGGCCATTCTAATAAACAAAAAGAACGGATTACATTAATCAGAAAACGAACTTTTACTGGAAATAAATGTAGTTTGAAAAACGTGGTGTGATTTTTTGGGCAATTAAAATGGCGCTGAAGGAGTTGCCTATTCCGTTGGTATATACACCCCATGGTATACCCATTACCCATGTCATGGGTCTTTTCAAATGTGGTTTAATTTTAGAAATGCATGTCTTAATTATATTGAAATCATACGTGCTTTACTAGTTTGTAATTTTTTGATATTCACATCCTTTGCAATTCATGACAGGAGTTGCTCTTGATGCCGATGATAAAGCTTCTTTCCTTCAATGTCAGAAATGTAACAAGACTGGCTGTGAATTTATTGATTGTTTACAAAGGATGAATTATTCAATATGTGAAGAGGTATTGTAAATGATGAAACTTTTGATTCCAATGTTTTTTTTTCATACATGTTTTCGTTTGAATAAGAAACAATAGTTTACATTCCTCCATGTAAACACAAGAAGAATGTGTCACTTTTCTGTTTTTTCTTTTTCCTTTGACTATAAATTCAAGGATGTTCAACAGTGATCTGTATTCTTATGCCCTCATGACTCTTGTATATTTTTTTGTATTTCTATTATCACATGCAAGATTGCTTTGCTGCAATACTTTTAACTATATAAAAATACAATGGGTTTTTTTTTTCAGGGTTCAAAAATTAGCGCAAATATATACTTTGATAACTTGATAAGAAAATTTTATACAGTATGTTCATTCCAGAATGCATAACTGTAAAATATATATGTCACTTGTAGAGGAATCCTACAAAATACTCATTGTGAAAGTGATTTTGATTGAAAATAATCTAACCAAGAAGGCTCAGCGATTATTATATGTATATGTTTAATAGTTTATGTTCAAATCTTAATTTTTGTATTTATCACTGATAGAATTACTTCAAGAATAGGCCATGCAATTTGATTTGGTAAGGACAGAACATTCTTTTAAATTGTGCAATAACTTAATTAATTTGAGAAAAACCCAAAAATCTTAATAACGAGTCAATCTTTCTAATGATTTTCTCAATTTATTGCACTCATATTTTAATTGAAAATAAAGCCTTTTATTTAATACAATCCGATTTATCATATTTTACTAGACAATATTTTTAAGCTGTTTGTATTAGGCTCAGAATATTTTTCATCTGATTCATTTTCAATTTCAAAGATTAATCAGATAGGGTATAATATATACCTAATTATAAATGAATGTTATTGATACAGACCAAACACTCAATATTAATCCTATCCACAGATTTCTTATAACACAGTATGTTAACGTAGTTGACTATTTTCTGAATTCCGTGAAATGCAACAGTTAATAGAGTGTTTAAAGTGTGACTCTTTAGTGTCCAGAGAAGGTGTGCTTTTAATAATTTACCAAAAAAGGGATTTAGTTTTAATTTTATCAAAGTAAATTTATCAGCATATAAAGATCCGTAAATAAACATTGATGCGTGCATAGAATTTTCTTTAGAACAAATTGATATTGATTTTTATTTTATACAACATTCCTTAATAAACTCCTCTAGTTTTTAAGCACGTTCTTAAAACTCAACTAGCATTCCTAAGGAAAACTTATAACAAGTCTCTGGATATCTTTTTTCTTTTCTTTTTTTTTTCTTTGTTATTTCTTCTTATTCTTTTTTTTTTTTTTTTTTTGGCTTTTTTGGGGGGATTCTGTATGATTTCTTTCTTTTTGCTAGTTTCTGGGTCAATTTTCACGTTTTAAAATAAATTGGAATATAATACAATCTTTCAGAACATAAACATTTTAATACATTTATATTTTTAGCCTAAATAAATAACTATGATTTTATTTTCACAAAATAAATAAGGGAAAGAAAGACAAAGAACGATGACAATTTAAAACAAAAGCATTTCTTGCAGGCGTCAGCAATTGAAATAATCCACAGAAGAGCAGGTTGTAAGTTGGAAATTTCATTTCTAAACGATTTGTATGTTCATCAGAGAATTCTTTGTATTATTTTTCACTTCCTATTTGAAATTAAGAAATAAGATATCATTTTTAGAGTTTCAATGGAGTTAGACATGAAGGGAGTCACGTGATCAAGTCCTATAACGCCCGAAGTGTGTTATAGTAGATTTGATCACGTACCGACTTCACGTCATAACCGAATGAAACTCTAAAAAATGATATTTTATTTCTTATATTTACATTTTACTTTTCTATTCGTGTTACAAAGAAATATAGGCACTATTTAGACTTTGCTATGGAATTGCAACATAACGTACCTACGACGTCATTTGACGTCACAATCGGAACTTTCGAAATGGCTCGTGCAGTTTGCTTTCCAAACGCATGAAAGTCTGATTATGTGACCAACTGCATGTCATTGAAAATTGAATTTCAATTTTATTAGTATTGTTATATTAGCAAAGACATTGGTAAATATATAACTATTTCTAGGACGCGAGAGTCCATTATAATCATTTGTTCAAAGTTTACTGTATATGAGATACATGATTCATAAAACTTTTTTTTTTTTTACAGTTTCAGATTCAAATATAAATCACCGTTCACGGTAGCTCAGTCGGTAGAGCGCTCGCTCCGTGATCGGGAGGTCGTGAGTTCGAATCTCGGCCGCGACAGACCCAAGTCGATAAAATGGGTAGCAACTGTTCCTTCGCCATGCGCTCGGCACTTTGAAGTGAAAGTTGCGGGTCTTTCGGATGAGACCTTAAAAACCGAGGCCCCGTGTCACGGCAGGCGTTGGCACGATAAAGATCCCTCACTGCTCAATGGCCCTGAGTGCCGAGTAAAGGTCAAAATTTGAAGCCCTTCACCGGTATATGGTGACGTCTCTATATGAGTGAAAAATTCTCGAATGGGACGTAAAACAACATACAATCAATCAAACAATCAAATATAAATCTCCGTGTCATCATTCCTTTATCCTTAGGTGTCCACATTCTTTGCGACTGTTTAGTAATGGGAATTGTTTGCTATAAACGGTTTGTTTTAATTTTTGCCTTTTTTAAATATGATTCATGATTTTTTTTTTCTTTGTACACTTATTGGAAATACACAAAGGTGTACATTTAGAACGATCTTTTTTTTTTTTTTTTTTTTTGTTAATTTGTGATAAATACTTATATATGTTTTACAGCCAGAAGGCAAATCAAAAGGACGAGAAGACAGCACCCAATGTTCCAAATCTCAATGAAAATTATTACGTAAATGAAACTCATGCTGTGGGTATGTATCATTCTGCCCTGAAACATGAATCAGAAAATACTAAACCAGACTTTGACGACACTTATCAGGAATCTACGGAGAGAGTGTATGATCATTTGAGAGACGTAAAGACAAGGAAATGCAAAACAGAAGACGTTTACGATCATGTTCCAGCTGTTGCAAAGCAGGAATACGTGTATGGCGGACATGACGTCAATACTGCAGGACGATTAGAGAGTACTTATGACCATACTGCGTCCATTTCCGATTATAGACAAAATAATAAGGGAATGAATAAAATGGACGACGATTACTCTCAAGTCCATCACGTGACATAAGGTGTACACTATGTAAGGTTTTATGAACTAGTAGAGCTGTATTCCTTAAAAGTAATGGAGTCGAGGCCCATTGCTTTTCAGGAATACAGCGCTGTGAGTATATTGATCCGCTAAAAATCTACTAGTACTGTTTTAAATGCTTGTAATTATTGTTTATCAATATGTAATAAAGATATATTTTAATAAGATACTGTCCGACTATGAGTGTAGATAGTTCGACTCCCAGAAGTACTACACTTTTTCGTAACATGAAAATATTACTTTCTCAAACTTCCTAAGTTCTTGCCCCTGAAGAGACACTGGAATAAGGATTTGAACATAAAAACTGTTTTCAATGTAAATTGCATCTCTCCTCTCCTGAAAAGTAACGGAGCGCTCAATAAAGGAGAGACGCGAGTGGATTTTAAATCAAATAAAAAATTAATAAAATTTCTGTGTACGTTTTGTAAAAACAAGTGCTTGCTTTAATAAGATTTTAGCTCGCTCAAACAAAAGACTCTGTTCGTTAAGTTTATCACATATTACATTGGTTCTTTTTATTACGAAATCCTAATTCTGTTATTATAAATACATGAAATTTCAAATACAAATTATAATATCTGACAGACAAAATTTTTGCGATCTGCTTGTCGAACCCATGTAGCGTCCGTATAACCTTCAATGGTTTCATATGCATGTGGCTCCCCCTGTGTTGACACATTGACGTAATTTGGCCTTCAAAATATGCGAATCTTATATTTTGTCTTATGCATATTTAAGTTAAAAGAATACGGGCTTTTAAGCTTTTTATATTACAAAGTGTGCTTTTATCTAAAAAAAGGAAATAATTCTCACCCTTTGTTATGGGAACCTGAAATATCAAATAAATGCTAGAATAGTTTAAATCAATAGTTATGTTTAACATCCTGAAATATACTGAAAGGAAAAAGAAACGCAGGGAAACTTATGAAGTGACTTTATGTCATTTCTGATCGTATTTCCAAAAATTGTTATCTTAAATTCTAACTTTCTTTAATCAACAAGAAACCAAAATTTCATTAGATTTTGACTGGTAATTCATGAGTTATTAGCATTCATTTGAAGGTTCCCCCTCCCCTACCCACCCACCCCAAAAACAGTGAAATTCCTTGACTTCCTCGCGCGTCTAAAACAGCCTTGATTCTCTTCTGCATCAGTGCATTTATTTTCTCATAGGGATATTATTTAACCCTTCCGACAAGGCACCCTTAGTTGCTCGAGAGTACCTTGGGAGTTCCTACGCCTTCAAACCCTAACGTCCAGGTAGTCCCACAGAAAAAAATGGACTTAATAGAGGCCAATCCAGTGTGATTAATGTGATTGTGTGCGAGAAAACCTTGACAAATTCTGGCTGCATGAGGACTGAGATTAACATTCTGAAAAATTAGGCATACGACGCAGTAGTGCTCGAGTGAGAGGAACAATGACGTAAAGTTCACGAAGTCACAAAGCAAAATCGAGTAATCTTTTTTTTTTTTTTGGGGGGGGGGGGGGTGGAGGGGGATAAATATAACGATTCTGATTTCCTATTGTATTTATAGTGGTTCAATTAAACAGGATGAATAGCCCAATCTCTTGGCGTTGTGACACGCCATCATTCCCGTCACGGTTGGTTGGAAACCCGTCCATTTCCCCTCTGAATATCACGGATACATTCGTTCTATGGTGGAAAAAATTACAAGAAACTGCAAAGCAACCTGTTGATGTCGTTTTCTTTACAGAGGCAATTTAATAGCCAGACTCTATGGAACTTCCGTAAGCCGTACTATGATTGCAAGAAATTCAAGATGACTGAAAATATTGAAAACAAATTGTATAACTCCAGTGTATCAAATGCTATTATAGTATGTGTTGACAAACCTGTAATCGGCAACATGTATGACATCATACATTTCACGGTAACTAAGATACCCTCTGACCAGTTTTCATAATTTTCGGCCATGCAGTCAAAAAACAAAAGATCATGTAACCCTGAGTTTCTTTTTCCTTTCAATGTAGCAGAGGAGTATACAGAAACTTGATTGATAAAAAATATTCTGTTCTTAAATCACAGCTGAAAAAATAGAATTTCTAAAATATATGTTTGTCTTGAATAACTTAAAAATGTAACAATCTACCTGGCGAATGAGATGCAGATCTGCTTGAATAAAAATCTTCCATTTCATATCTACAGTTAAAAAAAAAATTAAATAGTTTAATGTTTTATTTTCCGGAATCTTTCGTTCAATCATTTCATTGAGGTTATTTTTGTAGGATTTTAAACTTTTCGAGTAGAAGGATTTGGAGACAATTCATTATTCATTGTGTTCATTTTTGCATCTTTAAAAGCTATGATTGATAAGGCCAAGTAGTTAATCTGTTTAATTCAATAATTGGAGACTTATATTGTTTTAATATTTTCTTTCACAAAGAGATAAGAAGTGAATACTTGTATCATATTAGTGTTAAAAAAATCAATTTTGAATAAAACATTGATCTGAAAAACGCATTACAAACCCTCTGCTTATCTGCTGTTTGTCTGCAAAAAATTACATATAAATGACTATAATTTTCTTTTCCAAATCTTTTTTTTTTAATTGATCATAATGAAAAAAAAAACAAGATGAAATGCAGCGAGTCAAGATAATGTCAATTTACCTCTTTTTTTCTGTTTCCATATATTTACGAAACATATTATGCTGATCGTTGCAAGGAGAATGCCACTAATAAGAATTGACAAGGACGCGTAAAACATGTAATTACTTGATTCACTTTTCACTCCGCCTAGAAAGTAAAAATGTAGGCATCATTTTAGGATTTATTTTTTTTTCTTTCTAATTTCTTCTTTAGGTCGTGATTTCTTTTTGGCAAATGTATGTTGATCTTAATTTTTTGTAGTGTGTTATATATTACTTGAGCTGAGGTGATATTGAAAAAGTAAAAACAATATACTTACATGTACAATGTACTTGAGGTAATATTAATGAAGTTAAAACAGATTTCTTATAGGAAAAAATAATTCTTTGTAGTATAAACAATATTCATATTTGAAGTGATATTGGTGTAGTGTTACCTATATTCCAGTTTGAAGTATAATTGATATACTACTTGATGCAGTATAATCAATATTTCTATTTGAAGTTATATTGATGAAGCATAAACAATATTCTTATTTGAAGTAATATTGATGTAATATAAAAAAATATTCCTATTTGAAGTAATATTGCTGTGGTGTGAATAGTATTCCTACTTGAGAAAATAATTGATGTTGATAATGAAATACAGTTGAACTTCAGTATCTTGAACACTTTCATACAACAAAACAATAATTGGCTGTGTTTTATCTTGCCAGCGCCTACATGACACGGGACCACGGTTTTTAAGGTGAAATATGGAGATAACGAATAGTATTCAAGCTCAAAGTCCATTAAAACAATACAAATCGGGAGCAGAGCAAACAAAGACCTCTTAAAACATTAGAGGTGGGATCAGGTGCCATGGAGGAGTGAGCATCCCTTGCCGACCGGTCACACCTGCCGTGTGCTTCTTGTGATGATCGGGAAATAACGGAAAAATCCATCGACAATTCAGTGTGTAAATAATGGCCTAATAATTAATATGAAAAACATCAGTCAGCTTATGACTTATATATATATATATATATATATATATATATATATATATATATATATATATATATATATATATATATATATATATATATATATGATGAAATGATGATTTTAAACGAGACTGTAGATATTCTTGTTTAATCTTGTCTTATCCGAAAGACCCGTGACTTTCACTTCTAGTGCCGGGCGCTTGACGCGGCACGGCGAACGAGAATCGAACCCGGGCCTCCCAATCACGAAGCGAACACCCTACCACTTGGCTATAGTAAAAATTTATTCTCATTTGAGATACTATTCATTTAGTTTAAACAATATACACTGTGCATTCTGAAGTTAATATTGATGTAGTAATAACAATATTCTTACTTGAGGTAATATTGAGGTAAGCGTTGATGACTCCTGTCCCACAAGAAGCGTTGTATCCAGACTCACATATAAACTCTGTATGTCCAGATGCCAATTCCACTGTAAATGTGATGGTGCTTCTTTGCCTTTTGTTACACGTGCTCGAATTTATATCATTCATTTGTGGTGGCACCGACCAAGGAGTAAAATGTGCCATTGAACTTGTTTTAATACACCAACGGATATTCTGTTTAAAAATCATATTATTTTACAGATCAGAAATTCTTCATTACACATATCTTTGAGCAAGATACATTACTTGATTACTTTCAAATAAATCTATTTTTAAACCTTACCAACATCTCTAATGCGGGAGCATAAGTGACGTCACCTTCACAATGTAAGTTAAGCTGTGTTCCGACTGAAAATGAGAGAACATCTTCTACCTCCTTATCATCAATAGAGACTGAAATATTTGATATGTACACAGGCGGCTCTAAATCAAAACAAAATTGAAAGATAACAACAACCTGAATAAGAAAAAAGAGATAATCTATCAATTTGACGTATTTATTCAACATTCGTTTTTCTACGTCAGCATTGAAAATATACTACATAATAATATAATACGGTCATGTTATATTATAGTTTTCCCCTTTTTATTATCTGAACATTATCGCTAACTTGGTTAATACCTGGATAAATTAATAGTAAGTTATTAATATCTGGATAAATATTTGCATAAATACATATTTTAACCTCTAAGTACAAATATTTTTATGCAGTTATGTCACTTAAGTTTTTTTTTAACATTATACAATTATTAACTGACTTGATTTCATACCATCATAAATAACATCCAACGGTAAACTATTGTCAACTACTGGAGATGATGAGTTATTTACTCCAGTGCAGCGGCAGTAATACTGCGAAAAATCATGTGGACAATGAATTTCATGACTTGGAATGAGGAGTTGTAAAAATCCTTCAGTTACAAGCGAGACATTGCCAGTTAAGTTAATTGCTCTTTGCATTATTCTCTCATGTCGACGGATTACATCGTCCTTTACTGACGCGATTGTCGAGTTTGCCTCGCGTAGAATTTGTATGATTTCTAACGAAGTAACTGATCTTAAATCCTCGGGATTATTAAGCTGACATCTTATTTTTATATATTTATTTTCTGCATCCTCTCCAGCATATCCCCCTTCTATGTAAACGTGTACATC